TCTGGGACGGGAGAGTCAAGTGAGCGTGCGAGCGAGCGAACGGGCGAGCGAAGAAGAGAGAGAGGAGCGAGAAGAGAGAGAGAGAGAGAGAGAGAGAAGACGGAAGAGGAGCGGGAACGGTGGGGGAGGGAGGCCGGGGGCGCCCGTTCGCGGGTGGGCGGGAGGGGGTGGGGGACGCGCGAGGGAAAGGGTGACTGGCGGACCCGGCTGTGGCGATCCGAAGTCGCGGATTCGGCACGCCGCGGTTTACCGAACGTAATATGGCGTACAAGTTTCGCGAGGAGATCGTGGGAAAGAGGTTTCTCTCGGTGAGTGGTTTCACCAAGCTGAAGGTGAATAAGATTAGTGAGTGGGGTTGGCGTGCGGGGGTGATACGTGCCGCCAGTCACAGGGATAACGGCTGCCATGACCTCCAGGTGAGTGCGCCCGTTTGTTACTTTTACCTCTGCGTTTTTTTCCCCCCCTACCCTGTTTCAGGCGCGTCGTCGTCGCCGTCGTCGTCGCCGCGTAGTTTGTACGCGGGGGTCGATTGTCGGTCACCGCGCGGCGCCTCGCGCCGCGCCGCGATGTAAACACAAGCGGCGCGGCGCGACCCTTCGTGCGAATATCCCGCGTGTGTACGTGCACCGCTGCACCGTGTTGTATTTAAGTACGTGTGCGCGACTCCCGCCGGCTCGACGGTCGCCGCTGCTCCGCGCGCGCCGAAAATCCACGCCCGTTTCGGCGGAGTCGCCTCGGCGGCGCGACATGTGTCACGCGGCCACAAAAATCGTCGTCGTCGCCTCCGCCGAGCTTGATCTCGTTACACGTCGCCGGGATAAATGTCGGAGAGTCGCAATAACGCGGCGGCGCGACCGATTTCGACTTTCGCCGAAGGCACAGCGTGTTCTCGACTGTGTCTCGTATTGTAACAATTAAGTACAATCGCGAAATGTTGCGTAATGCCGAATTGCGTGGTTGCACTTTCGGGAGCGCCTGCTGCAATTAACGCGCTGCGTTGCTCCGAATAAAATCCACCGTCGCGGGCGTCGCTCGACGCGCAAAATGCGGGTCGTTAATCGCAAATGTACGCAAAACGCGAACAATTAGCCGAGTCATGTCGAATTTTGCGGGAAGATCCGAGCGGAGCAGCGATCGATCGCGGCGCGGACGCGCGTTTCCGAGAGGCCTGTTATTGTTTCAGAAATACTTGGGAAAATTCACGTTACGTCTCGGCACGCACGTGCCAGTAAATTAAATCGTGCGGCCGGGCGCAGATCTCTCGGAATTTACGTACGTGTCCCTTTTTCACGCGGAGATTACGCAGATCTTGGCCTACATTTTCTAAGGATTCGCCGAAGGTCGCGTTTTGCGAACGTACACTCGCGAATATTCGCTTGAATTTTTTATGAGCGATAAGCCCGACCGTTGCCTGTCCCTATTAATATTTCTATTATAGAATATTAATCGTGCGGTCGCACATTATTCGTGTAATTGCCGTCGCACGTATCTACTTTTGACTCGCTTATAAATTGCACACTGCGACAAAGGGATGTCGAATCAAGACGTAATTTCGGCATACGACGATCACGGGCTGCCAAGCAATTATCAATCAATTGGCAAAAATAATCGTCGGTTGAAAAATAAAAATGTCTCGACAAACGACCGCGTTTAACTTACTCGTTTAACTGAACGTAGTCGTTTCAATAACTTTTTTCTCTCAGCTACGGTTGATTTGGGAGGGAAACGAAGGTTATACCTTATGCTACTTTATGAATACTAAAAACTTGCGATTACGAGTACGTCCGAAGGTCGGTTTCATCACCGAATCGCCAACGTCTGCCAATGACTCGTTCCCGAGTTACTTAAGAAATCAGCTTCTCTATCACGAAAATCATTGAAGAGTAACGCTCAGATTGCATCTTCAAGTCGCCTCTAATCACAATTCTGACGTCGCTTACATAAAACGACGTACGTTCGGAGAATCCGCGATCATCATCGAGGCTCGATACACTGAGCAAAAAGTTACAGCTGCCCGTAGCTAAACACCGCACGTGGCAACTAAATTCCGTAAAATATGGACGGCTAATATTTTGCTACTGTGCCTATTGTACCGCACTGTAAAAAAAAGTACGTAAAATTACACACGCAATAAGTGTAGCGATTACACTATTAATAACGGAAATATATAGATTTGTGCACTCTTGGCAAAGAAATTTTTTCCACTCTTTGCTGTGTAAATGCTTGTTTGTGCTTGACGAAAAATTACGGCAACTTGTAAAATTCGCAAAATTAAAAGCGAACAGTTTACTTATTGCACAAGGTGTAAATTTACAGACGTACGTAAACACACACCTTTAACAGATGGTCCCCATATAACTCACTGTAATAATTGTAATTTTACGGCGTGATTTTTCTACAGTGTAGGTGCGGCAGCAACCGTTTGCTGTGGCTTAGACATTTACAGCCGCGGCAGCAAAACAGCTCCGGCAAATCACGATCAGCTGCGATAGCGAAAATTTTTCTTACAATTGCGTACGCGCCTAAGTTTATCTGTCAAGGGCCTTTCCCTTCCTTTCAACTCAAGTCATAACTATTTCAGTTTTCGAGGACATTGCCAACTTACGTATCAACGCTGTTTGCACGCGCACGCACACACACACGCGCGCCGCAGTCGGGGTATACACGTTTCGCGTTGCTTGGCCAGTGATATTTGCCAATTATACCACGTGGCCAGAGACCGCGATTATTATGTCGGTCGAGCGTGAAATGTCGGAAAATCTCAGCGGTCGATTTTTGCATTCGGCTCGCGACAGTCGGAAACGCACGTTTTCGAATCGAACGTCGTGTCTTCAAAAAAAAAAAAAGAAGCATCGTCACGGCTTCGTTACGCAACGGGTCGAATTTCGGAGCACTCGGACGGACACGCGCGCGCACGCTCGCGAAATTAATTCGGAGAGGCAATACTTATTATCTCTTATGTAATAAAAGAGGCGGTTGTCCTCGGGTATCATTTATCGGGCAATGAAACAGTCAGCCCGATGACGATAAGAATATTAGCTCACCTACGTATTATTACCTTAATTAACGCCATAATTATTGAGAGGCTCCCGCGGAGAAGAACTCTGCGAATTTCAGATACAATGTTTCGCTGCAGAAACGCTATTACGTAGTTTGAGAATATTGACGTTTATTGCAGCCACGCTTTAACGTTGTGCTTCTGCATGGAAATATAATTAATTATATTGGGCTATCATGGAACTTTTCTCGACTGACGTGTTGCAAAATGTCGCGTTAACAGGTCGAGATCTGAACTCTCTCTCTGCGTTCTGCCAAGATGTCAACCTCTGAAGAAATCTTATTTTGGTTTGTGCATCACACGGAGAGAATTTTCTCCCAAAATTCATCCGGAAAATCACGTAGTCGTGGGACAACGTGGCATTTTCGGGAACTTCGTGAGAGGTTTTTTTGGAAATTTTATCACACATTTTACCACACCTCGAAAAATTTCCATCGGCTAAACCGATTAACTAGCGTTTTCGACGGTTAGTTTTTTTCCGATTACGTTTTCCGATTAAATTAATTGACGTACCTGATGAAATTTGTCCGATGAAACGCTGTTACCGATGGAATTTGATTGAAAGACCGATCATATTTTTCATCGAATATACAATTCAATCGGACGTGTCCGTTTGTTATTACGTAATTGGATTATTCAATTGTCAATAAATAAGTTTAGTCGACCTCAACTGGCACGTGTTTAATAAAATAAAATAAAACACAGTGCGACGTTTCGACCGAGGGTTTGGGTCCGTTTCAGGCACGTTCCAAAAGGAACAAACCAACAATTGCAGATTTATCAAAGATACAAAATGAATTAATAGAAAATCACAATGTGTACAATATGTAAAATGATACAAGGTTATAATTAAGAAGTGCAATGAAAGATATGGTTTGTCACAGCGGATAAAATAATATAACAAATTGAAAATGACTCCTAGACCAGTCAGTTACCTTAAAAATAATTAGAGCCAATGTAATACGAAGTCGAGTACAATGGGAAAAATGTCCGATTAAATATAATCGGATAATCCAATTACATAATAGCAAACGGATGTATCCAATTAAATTGTATATCCGATGAAAAGTGTGATCGGTTTTTCAATAAAATTTCATCGGTAACTGCATTTCGTCGGATAATTTTCATCGGATGTATCCGTGATTTAATCGGAAAACGTGATCGGAAACGCTATTGGTTTATTCGATGGAAAATTTTCTCATTGTAATAGAAGTCCGGTTATCTTTAATCGGACATTTTTCTCAGTGCAACAATTATACTTAGTATACATTTTACTAGTAAAATGTATACTAAGTATAATTTACTAGTAAAATGTATGGTAAAATTTCAGAAAACTTGACCCACGCGATTACACGATTTTCAGGGTAAATTATAAAAGAAAATTCTTCCCCCCCCCCCCTGTATGCGTGCCGTATAAATTCGACCGCTGTTCGTTCAGCTTAATCTCCATTAGCGATAATATTTAATAACAAATTCATATTTATATGTTTTGCATTTTGTATTAATGATTTTTTATTTTCGAATATCAGAAACACGGCTATAACAGCCCTCTCGCCGAGTCGTTGTTATAATAAACAATACGTTTGTCATTTTACGCGGAATTACCTTTTCATAAAAGTCTCGTTATTACAAAAGTGTTTTTGAAAACAATCCCGACAAACTTAGCGCGGCTAAATCTCGAATGCGCGTTACACGCAACGTTCTATTTGCAAACTGGCATTTATCAACCCCTATTAATTTCTATCGTTTCCTATTGTCCCGCGGCTAATTCTTAAATTACATCACTCGTCCGGCGCAACGTCAACCGTTCAGCCGCGGTCAATCGATCTCCGGCACACTCGGAGTTAATAATACCAGTATTTATTCGCGGCGCTCATTAGCAGCTCGCCCGGTTTCAACTGCCCTTAATGGCCCTCGCGGCGTCTGCGAATTTATCGCGGCGTCAAGAAGCATCCGGGCGCCACCCGGAGCGAATTCAGTTGACATCTGTTTAGCTATTTGACGCTTTAAAGGGTCAACGACTACAAACGTCATTAGGTATTCCGGGGTCATCGGCGCCGCCGGGTCTCTCGGGCGGCCGCGGCGGCCCGGTTTTCCGGTTTTCCTAGCGTCAAAGGACCCCGTGCGTCCCTCGGTTTCGCAGAAAACGTGTCGACGAACCTGACTGAGACCTGCTGGCTCTTCGCCGGACGTAAACGCCTGTCGTGCTTTAAATCCTGCCGCCTGTAATAATCCCGGGCGAGATAGTTTCTTGTCCGAGACGCGGGACGGAGAGGGAAAGAAACTATTGTCTTTATCTCTCTCTCTCTCTCTCTCTCTTCTTTCTCACTATGCGTGTCGATAGTGCCGGCGATAAAG